TAGGATTCTCTCTAGCAAGCCCAGATGTCTCTTCTACCTAAAGTGGTTCATTGCCAAGAATCAGTTGTGTTTGTTCCCAAACCTGTTCATGCTTGTCCTTGTGACTGTAACCAAGCAATTTAATTAAATATAGAAGCTGTTAGATTATGACTGCAAAGAGAGTCATTTTTACTTTTTAAAAAATTAAAGTAGGGAGAAGGTAGATAGGGTAAAAGGGGTCAAATATGTGGTGACAGAAAGAAATCTAACTATGGGAGGTGAACACACAATGTAAATATATATATGCCTTACCGTTAAAATGTACAGCTGAAACTTACCGGATGTAGTTAACCAATGTCACCATAAAAAATTAATTAGTTAATTTAAAAATTAAAGTAAAACATATACATAGTTTTAAAAGTCAAATAATACTTTTATTACATTTATTTTTTAACTTTATAAGAGTTTATTTCAGCCCAAAAACTGAAGACCTGATTTAATTTTGGCAACTAGATTTATTCCATTATTTTCTGTTTCCTTTTTTGCATTTTTGAAGAAGTATTAAACACCATACGTATATTCTGGGAAATGTGTTTTGCAGTTTTTTTTCTTCCAGCTTTATTGAAGTAGAATAGACAGTTGCTCATATTTACGTTGTATAATTCAATGAGTTTTTTTCCATTACAGTTGGCCTACAATAATATATTCGCTTCAGTTGTACAATATAGTGATTAGAGATCTATATAACTCACAAAGTGGTCACCCCACCAAATCAGGTATCCTTCTTTCCCCTTACATATTTTTCACAACATCGTTGACTATTTTCCTTATGCTACACTTTATATCTCCATGACTACTTGTACTTCTTAATACCTTTGCCCTTTTCCCCATCCCCCGCCAACTCCCCTCCTGTCTAGTTGCCCTCAAAATATTCTCTGTATCTATGAGTTTGTTTCCATTTGTTGTTTTGTTGTTTATTTTGTTCTTTAAATTCCACATGTACATGAAATCATGTGGTATTTGTCTTTCTCTATCGGACTTACTTTATTCAGCGCAATACCCTCCAGGTCCATCAAGGCAATATCTTTTTTCATCCCCTTCTTTTTAGTCTGTGTGTGTCTTTTAATCTGAAGTGAGTCTCTTGTAGGCAGCATGTATAAGGGGCTTGTTTTCTTATCCATTTGGCTTCTCTATGTTTTGGTTGGAGAACTTAACTCTTTTCCATGTGAGGTACTTGATAAATATGTAGTTATTACCATTCTTTATTCATGTTTTTGATACACGATTTTTTCTTCTTAAAGAAGTCCCTCCAACAATTCCTGTACTACTGCATGGTGTTGATCAATTCCTTTAGCTTATTTTTGTCTGAGAGCTCTTTATCTGTCCTTCAATTCTGAATGATAGCTTTGCTGGGTGAAATATTCTTGGTTTAGATCCTGGGTTTCAACACTTTGAATATTTTGTGCCAAACCCTTCTGTCCTGCAGTTTCTTTTGAGAAATCAGCTGCCAGTCTTATGGGTGTTCCATTGTAGGCAACAAACTGCTTTTTTCTTGCTGTTTTTAAGATTCTCTCTTTGTATTTAACCTTTGGCATTTTAATTATGATGTGTCTTGGTGTGGGCCTCTTTGGGTTCATTTTTTGGGGGGACTCTCTGAGCTTCCTAGGGTTGTATGTCTATTTCCTTTACCAGGTTAGAGAAATTTACCATCATTATTTCTTCAAATATAAGTTCAACTTCTTGTTCTCCCTCTTCAGGTACCCCTGTGACATGGATGTTGTTACCCTTAATTTTGTCCCATAAGCTCCTTAAATTATTATTACAGTCTTGGTTACTTTTTTCTTGCTGTTCTGGTTTGGTGCCCTGGGCTTCCTCTTCCTCTATTTTGGTGTTTTGATCCTCTTCTTCCTCTACTCTATTGATTCTCTCTAATATACTCTTCATCTCAGATGATGTGTTCTTCATTTCTGACTGGTTCCTTTTTATAATTTCCATTTCCATTTTTATGTTTTTTATCCTTTTGTTAAAGTTCTTGCTGAGTTCATCGATACTTCCCCTAGGTTCATTGAGCTTCTTTGTAACCAATGTTTTGAACTCTGCATCTGTGAGATTGCTTGAGTCCATTTTTCCTTGATCTATGTTCTGTTCTTTCATATGGTTTCTGTTTCTTTCTCTTCCCATTTTGGCTGCCTTTCTGTGTCTCTATGTACTAATCAAAGCTCCTAAGTCTTCTGGTCTTATTAGCATGGCTTTGTGAAGTAGGTGTCCAGCAGCACAGTCCTGAGAGGGGTTCAACTGCAGGCCAAGTTTAGCCCCAGCCTGTGCCTCTCTGGGGCCACCTGTTAAGATTCAGCAAGCAATCCACAAATGCTGTGCTTATAATTGCCTCAAGAAGCCACATCGAAAACCAAGGTCAGCTGCCACCAGTGTGAGTCTTGGTGCTGCTCAGCAAGTGGCACAGGACTTGTTGAGGACACAGCTGGATGTGGCCTGGGTGGGGCCATGAGTTGGGAGATGTGGAGTTTCAGGGAATCCTCTGGGCAGCGTGACCTCTGTCATTGAGTTTGATGATGTCTCGGCTATGGCGGCACTGCATGTATACACTGTGGCGGAGGAGGACTCAACAGAGGAGGAATGGATACCACCAGCACTTCTGCCCAGTAGAAAGCCTCACCTCTGGCCCTCACTCCGACAACTCAGCGTCCCCCTTTAAGTCCCTAGTGACCCCCGAGAAACCTACCCCGTGCTAGTGCTCAGAGGGAGCAGGTCCGTCACAGTGAAAGTTTGGTTTCAGACATGGCCCCTTTAAGAGGCATCTGCAGCTGCTGGCTGCCACTGCCATCGCCTCTGTCCCACTCAGCCTCTGGGGACCCAGCAGCCTCATGTCTTCAGCCCCCTCCTACCTCCTACCTTTGCAGGGTGATTCCTTATTTCTCTCCCTAGTTGTAGGGCTTCTGATCATCTAGACTCCTGGGTTACTTTGCTTGCTGTTTGCTCTGTGTTTCAGTCTCAACTTTGCTGTGGTTGCAAGAGGGGATGTATGAAGCTTCTATCATCTATGCCATTTTCCAAATCATACTTTTTAAATAATATATTATGAGAATTAAAGCAAATAAAAACAACAGCCCCTGACTGTCTTTCACTAATCCATAGAGACAACCATGTTTATTTCTTTTAGCTGTTTGTTTTGGCAGATATCTTCAGTTTTCTAAATAACACATTTCTATTGCTAGTTACCTGATTATTTGAAATTCACAGTTTTGGCTGTTGTCTTTTAACTTTGAATTATTGAAGATAAGATTTAATTCTTTTACATCACCACAAATGCTCCAACTTAGCCTGACACTTTCTAATAAAGGGTCGTCATCAATTTATAGT